CTGATGCGTCTTACGGAGGAGGAGGAGGAGGAGGAGGAGGAGGAGGAGGAGGCGGAGGCGGAGGCGGAGGAGGAGGAGGAGGAGGAGGCGGAGGAGGAGGAGGAGAGGAGGCGGAGGAGGAGGAGGAGGAGGAGGGGGAGGAGGTGGAGGAGGAGGAGGAGGAGGGGGAGGAGGAGGAGGAGGAGGAGGAGGAGGAGGAGGAGGAGGAAGGCTGACGCTACGAGCCTTCGCTTGGCGGCTTGCCTAAGAAAAAGAGGAGGAGTGCGGCTAGGAGTAGAAGGACGGAAAGGACGGCCAGGAGGATGACAAGAACCATGAGGATGAAGAGGGAGGAGAGAAGGAGGAGAAGAGAAGGAGGAGGAGGGGAGAAGGAGGAGGGTGAGGGGGAGCAGGAGGTTACGGCGACCCACTGCCTCAGGGACCTCCCCAAATACCCGCATCACGACTAGATCCTGAGCAGAGCTCTACCCCCGCCGTTCACCTCGCGGCAGTGCACCCTGCCCCTCGTCGCCGAGTGCACGGTAGGGCCCCCGACGACCCACTCGCAGGCGCCCCGCCTTGTGGTAGTAGATGCCTCGTCGTCGTTCTCGTCCTCGTCGTCGTCGCCCTCCTCCTCCTTCGTCTCCTCGTCCTTTTCCTCCGTCATCCTCCTTCTTGACAGGTTGCACGGCGCACAGCGAGAAGACTCAGGGACCGACTGGCGCAGCACGCAGTTCACGCGCTGCGCCCTCGAAGATTCACTCGCTGTTGGCTACCATCGCTAGGAGGAGGAGGGCTGCCCGTTCGTCTGGCGGCCACCGGATCAGCACACACGATGCTTCTGACCAGAGGCTCACCGCCGGCAGCGTGCGATCTGCGAGGTGATGCTCGATAGCGTTGTTGGCGAACGCTTCGGCCGTCTTCGCACTGGAGATGATGTGCAGTCGAGCATCTGATTAAGAAACCTCCTCCCGAAAAGTTGGGTCAGCGTTTTGTTTTGTCAACTTGCCGGCTGGCCCGTTTTTTTGAGCGCGTTCGCCCCTCAGGCGTTAGCGTTGTCCCTCTCGATACCCGTTCATCTGGCGGCCACCGGAGCAGCACGCAGGATGCTTCTGACCAGAGGCTCCGCCGGCAGCGTGCGATCTGCGAGATGATGTTCAATAGCGTCGTTGGCCAGCGCTTCGGCCGTCTTCGCACTGGAAATGATGTACTTTAGCTGCCCGGGGTCCGTCACCTTCGGAGGAGGGAAAGAGCCCGTTTCTTTATCGCTTGGAGCATGACGGGCGTCATGGCCCCCGGTCCCCCCCCCCCTAAGACGTAACGTTCCCCCCTCCAGTGCGTTCCGGGCAACGCCCCCCAGTGCGCTCCGAGCACTGCCGCTGTGCGCATTGGGATCCGCGTAGGTGTCCGCGTAGTGGATCGTTTGTGGATTTCACAGAAAACAACATAACATAACCTTCATGGACAACGGTGCGCCGCTGGAATCTACGTGTCCTCCCGAGTCCGCCCGCATCACCCTAACTCTTCCTTTTGCGTCCAGGAGGTTCCAGCTAAATTGGCCGTCCGAGAACCTAAGTGGGCCGATTCATTAAACCATTCTGCGGTGCGCGCTGAGATGCGCACGTGCGCTGTAGCGCCAACCCGCGCGACGGGGGGTAAGGAGGATGAGGAGGAGGAGGAGGCGGATGAGGAGGAGGAGGAGGATGTGGAGGTGGAAGAGGAGGAGGAGGGAGGTGAGAAGAACGTCGCATTCGATTATCAGCAATTTCTTGGCGTGGCGTCTAGTTGTCCGCAACAGATCCTCACGTACATGCTCTTTCTACCTGTCTTATGCACGCAGGCATTGTGGTGTACACCAGCGCTGCGTTGCACGCGGATGCTGTGGTGTAGACACACGCTGTGGCGTGCACAGGCGCTGCCGTGCACGCGAGCACTGTGGTGTACACAGGCGCTGCGTTGCACATGGTAGCCGCGGTGTGCAATTGTACGCCGGCGCTGTAGTGTACGCAAGCATTGTGGTGTACACAGGCGCTGCGTTGCACACGGTTGTTGCGGTGTACGCACGCGCTGTGGTATACACGCGCGCTGTGGTGCACGCGAGCGTTGTGATGTACACAGGCGCAGTGGGGCTTTGGCCACCTACATGCTGCTCTCGTCGTCGACGTCGTCGTCGTCGTGACCGTCGTCGTGGTCGTCGTTGTCGTCGTCGTCGCTCGTCGCTCGTCGCTCGTCGCGCGCGCGGGCGCGGCTGCGGTGCCGAAGCCACACGGCGGGGGGGGCGTTACGTCATACCCCCCCCTCGCCCCGCGCCCCCCCCCCATGACCCCCGTCATCACCGAACATGAAGAAACGCGCTCAAAGGTACCTATACCTCTACCCTCCGCCCGTTGTTCCCCGTTTCTGGGCCTCCTCGGAGGCCCTCGTCGCCACCGCTGGATTCGCCTCGAAATTCTGGTCAGAACGCACCCCGGGAGATGTTTGGGGAGTAGCGGTATCGGTACCTCTTGGTCTCCCCACACCTGCTGGCGGTGCGTGATGATGGCGTTTTCGTGGGCCTCTTCATCTGAAGAGGCCCACACGAACCCCCACGTATGAATTATTTCCGTCATCTGCCGGGCTTGCTGGGCAGCTCGAGCCTGGCAGGGGCTCGGGCCAGGGGGAGGGCGGGGTCTCGGGGTGCTTTCAACGCCTCGGCTTTCCGCGCAGCGTCGGGGCTTGGCTTCGTGATCAAGCTCCTCGCCGCGCGAGTCGGACAGCGGAGAGGGGGGTGTTTGGGGCGCAGTGCAAAGTGAATGATAGGTGAAGGGGGGGTGGGGCGCAGAGGGGGCGAAGGGGGGCGCGGGAGGGCACAGGCCCCATACGCTCTCTTATCCTTCTCTCGGGTGTACCGTCTTTTCTTCCTCGCGATCCCTCGGCTTTCCCGCGCGCGGGCGGCCGTCTGACGCGCATGTGTCTTCTTGTTGTGGACTCTTTGTGCTTCGAGTAGGAGATCACATGCAAAATTATTGACCTTAAATTCGCATGCTCGTCGAATCGCCGAGGGAATACGTAGCAGTTCACGAGCGCTTTACTTTTTCCGTTCTAGATGCGACGACTAAATCAATTTCGGGGTAAATCAATTCTGTAGTTGATCCCCTACTCGAGTTGTGGGATCCTGAAAGTTTCTTGGGCGGGCCCTCCGAGAGGTCTCGGGAGCCCCATGCGAGGCGTCGTGGACCTTCGGAGAGCCGCCCCCCGGGCCTCCTGAGAGATCTCGTTGGCGTTTGTCGAGGGGCTCTTCTCCGGCTTCGGCAAGAGGGCGGCCTGGCTTCCCGAGAGGCTTTTCTGGCTTTCCGAAGGGGCCCCATGGGGCCCGAGAGCCCCCACAGGTGTCTTGGGCCTCCTTACAGTGCTGTTTTTAATACATGCTCCGCGTGCCCCATACAAGAATATATAAGATTTCATGTCCGTCCACTGTTGTTGGGTCGGGGCCCCACTTTGCGATACATTCGCGAAAGTGGGAACCCTTATCCTACAACATAAGGTGCGCTTCTGATTACTACATAGCTGTACGGGTTGGGTTTTTAGGGAGGCCCAGATGGGTTTCACGAGGGCCCCCCCCTGGGCCCCCCCCAGGGGCTTCCTGGGCCTCCTGGAGATCTTCTTGGAGAGAGCAGTGGGACTCCTGGGATGCCTCCTGTGGTTCCCGAGGAGCCCCCCGGGGGCCCCTGGGCTGCCCGCGAAGGCTTCGGGGCCACCGTCGCAAGCCTCCGTGGGACCTCCCGCAAAGGGGCGGCCTGGGCCTCCAGAGGGGCCTGGGCCGCCCCCGGATTTGGTTTCTGGGAGACGTGTTCGGGGGCGGAAAAGAGGGGGGTGATGACTAGTGGGGGGGGGATCTCATTTTCGTGGGCCGTGATATTTCCCCTGATTTCATTGCGCCTTTTCTTAGTTCATTACGTCCCTGGCCCCCCCCCCTTGGGCCGCGCACATGCCGCCGGCCATGATTTGCACCCCTCCTCTTGGACGCCCCCCTTTTGGCCGCCCCCAAGTTCGGCATCCCGGAAGGATCCTGGGAATCCTGGGCCGCTCCCGCGGCCGTGCTGGGCCGTGCGGGGTAGCGCTGGGATCCGAGAGGCTCGTCGAGAGCTGCCGTGGCACGAACGCGATGCTTACGCAACGGTCGGTGTCCTCCGTGGGGGAGGCCCTCACGGAGGCCACCGACCACTGCCAGCGGCGCAGGCGGAGATCGGGAGCGCGCGCGCCGGGTCGCGCGCGCCTCGTTTGCCCCCCCCCCCCCCGCGCGTCGCCAGGCAGAGCTCGGGGGCGCGCGCTGGGTCGCGCGCGCCTCGTTTGCCCCCCCTGCTTACGCGATGGCCCAGGGGCCATCTCGTAGGCAACCCGGGCTTCTCGTGCCCATGCTGCATCGGAGCTCAAGAGACGCGGGTCGATGCAAACGAGGGTCAGTCAGAGCGCCCTATCTTGCAGGATCCTGCAGAGCCAGTGTTGCATAGGCCCAGGCTTGGGCGCAGGATCCTGCAGGGTCTTACAGGATCCTGCAGGATCCTGCACAGCCTGACTGACCCGGGTCTGGCCTGACCTGGGTCGGTAGATCCCCGACTGCCTTGCTTCACCGATGGTCATGTTGCGCAACGTCGGCAACTAGATCGGGATCATTTGTGGCCGCATTGACCCCCGTAGCGACTCGCGGCCTGTCGGCCCTGGTATTCCGGGACGGGTGAAGACAACGTGGCGTGTCGTAGCCGTTGCGCCACCAATGGCCACCGCGTCTGCGGGGCCACGCGCAGGAGCAAGGCTATGAAATAGCAGCGGCAACGCAGCAAGGAGGCGAAGGCCCCCAGGAGTTCACGCGGCAGCCGTCGTTGAAGATTTGCGCGAAGGCGGTTGGCCTGTTAGCTTGGCCAGCGGGTGACTGGGCGAGCATTGCCAGCGCCTCTTTGCATATATAGTCGCTGGCGTTGGCGGCAGTGTTGGTTTGTTGATAATGTCGTTGCTCACAGCATAGTGCATGCTTCCCAGAAGACCATCTGCAGGGGTACGGGCTCGATGCCACCCGCGCCCTGGACGGCGGCCGCTGGACGGGTGATGGCTGCCCAGGTGTACGCAGCCGGCGGATGCTCAGGCTGCATCTCCTCAACGCCGTCGGCCCAAGCATTCACGGCCTCGAGAGCAGCATGAGCGATCGCGCTGCCGTGCTCGAGCTTCCTCGTCCTGAACAGGACGGCATCAACTGCGCGCACATAGCGGGCGCGTTTCAGGCCGAGCTTCGCCACCAGCAGCAGGAGTTTCTTCATGTTCTTCGCGTGCGGATCGCCCTCCCCCCACATCACCACCACCACCACCACCACCACCACGACCACCACAACCACCACGACCACCACCACCACCACCACCACCACCACCACCACCACCACCACCACCACCACCACCACCACCACCACCACACACTGCCACAACGCGACGCTTTTCACCCACGGCACGGACTCTCTCGCCAGCGGCGCCGAGCTGCCAGGCCTCCATCCCGGCACAGGGGATGTCGGAGTGTGGGAGACAAACCAAAAAGTGGTGGCACGAATTCGACCCTCATACCTGCAGAGACGATGTCATGATCGCGACCCTTCAGGAAATTCCCAGATCGTCGTAACGGCAGCGTCGGTGTCGTAACGGCGGCGGCGTCGCAACGGCGGCGTCGGTCTCGTAATGGCGGCGCCGGCGGCGTCGGCGTCGTAATGGAGGCGGGGTTGTTCTGACGGCTTCGGTGTGGTAACGGTGGTGCCGGCGTCGTCGGCGTCGTACCAGTGGCGTCGGTGGTGTCGATGTCATATTGATGATGAAGATGGGGATGAATGTAAGAAGATTCAGAGAGCCTTGCACATCCTCAGCCGGGGACGTTGATGGAAGCCTCATCAAGATGAGTGGTACAACGTCTATGGAGCTCGTTCGACGACGTAGCCTCGAACTCGCAGCAGGGGCGCGGCAGGTCAACGGGCGCGGCGGTCTCCATCGGCAAAGGAGGACGCGGAAAATGTGAATGAAGCGGGAGGAGGCGGCAGCGGAGGAGGAGGACGAGTAAATATGCTCCTCTCCGCCTCATACTCAATTAGAACATAACTTAGATTGCATGCAATGAACTGTCCGCGTGAACTGATGCTGCGTTTCTGCAGCTGTATAACTGCTCAAACCAGCCGACCTCGGCTGGCAGGAGAGAAAAGGAGCGCGCTGGGGCGCACGGGCGATTCGTCGTCGTCCGTCCTCGGCATTCCTCCTCCCTTCCTATTCCTGATAGAGTGGTTTAGCTTAACGGATATCTGTCTTATCAATGTCTCATCCTGCCTCCGCTCTCCCTGAGCAGAGTCAACATGAGATCTTAATTCCTTTTTCATCTTACCCCGATTCTCCGAGGAAAGACTGGTTATCAGCCGAAACGCGCGACTCAGTCGACGCGGGGCCATTAGATGCAAATGAAGAGCTTTCAGTCGTGCCCCGCGACTCAGTCGCTGCGGGAGAGAGCTACGATAATACTAATATCGTGTCTAATATCTCGAGAAGCGCAGATTGGCGCGTTGAACAACATGATGGACACGATACATATAGAATCGGTCCTATTCAAGACCGAATCCCTCCTTCACATATCGCCGACCGGGTCATGAGGGGGAGAAGTACTGATGGGATAACCGAAATGTCGGTAGACATACCCACAGTAGGGGCTCCGATAGGTGATCGTGAGCAAACCCCCGACCCTCACGGGCGAGAAGGCGTCACGCCAAGGCCCTGACCAGGTGCATTCTCTTCAAGGTTGAGTGCCAACTCGACGGAGTCGATAAGTCCCATTCAGAATGCTCAACAAGCTACAGCCATTGCCGCTGGCCAAGCCAGCCGTCCAGGGGAAGCCCAAGGGAATCCGAATGCGCATCCAAATATCCCCGTAGATTGGGTGGGTATGCATGTTACTGCCCGAACCCCTATAGCACTTAACGGACAATTCGGTCAGGATAGCGATGATCCGATAGACAAAAATCACGAAATATATTCCATGGAAGAAATTTTTGGTAGCATCAATAGTGATATTTCCCTGAGCCGAGCGTTGTCCGTGATGATGGATGAAGGCATCCCTGCTCGAGACAAAAGTTGGTCCCCAGATGGATCCGACGAAGACACAAGTATCCTGGCGCCTCAGGCGGACAGGGTGGAGACTCAAACGAAGCATGAGAGGGAGTCCACTGGGCGAACTCCTGCGCCTAACCTCAAGAAACAACGGAATGAGGACTATGAGCTAAACGTCTCGCCATTAAAGGATGGCTTCTTCCGTAACGCCACCACCTTAGGTGAGTGGCAACCCATTCCGGCTGTTGTTGAGGGCGAAATGGTCGGACAACAAGGTATTTACTCTCAGCTAATCAAACAGGACGAGAAGGACGAGGAGTTCTTAAATGCGCCCAAACCACGAGAACGCACTTTTGCCTGCCCCAGATCGAATGCTTCGAGCAGGGGAACGCCCAAAATACAAAGATCAGGGGCGAGGTCTACCTCTAGGAGCAACAGTGCAGTTTCTATGATGGAGGTACGTGGGAATCCCAATCCTGGCTGCGCGCCTCAGGCGGAGAACAGATGCCAAGGAAAAGCCAACAAGCCTGAAGGCGCATGTAGGAACCCAGCGTGCAGGAATGGCTCGGACGTTTGCAACAAGTGTAACATGCAATGGCTACGCGCGGAGTGCTACCCAATGGACGAGCACAACTGCACATACCTCTTCTTGCAGTCTATTCAAGACCAGGCCAGGCTAGCAGAGGTCAACACTCAGAGAGAGTTTCTGACTAATGAGGCGAATCTGGCTGAAGGGGCTCGATTGGACAGAGAAGAATGCATTGAAACTGTGATCGAAGCCAGGAAAACGTTTGAGGCTGAGCGGATCGCCCTAGCCATGGCCGCTCGAGAGCGTGAACAAGCGCCGATAGAACACCTGTACAATCAGACTGAGGCCGTGAAATGGCAAGTGGAGAGGGAAGCAGAAGACAAATACAGAGAATTATTGAGTTCGGAGAGACGGGCCGTCATGGTGGCGAACGAAGAATCTGCGGACGCCCATGCGGTTGCCGCTGCCGTTGCGATGGCCAAGATAGAAGGGGAACAAATCGCGACAGCCGTGGCGGAACGAGAAAAAGCAGGGATTACAAGAAGAACTCACAGCCGCCAGGCTGAAAGCAGACAACACCCAAGCTGTAGCTGCGAAGATAACTAACCAGAGCAATCTCTATCTGGAAGAGCTTAAATCGCATGAAGAAGCCAGACCGTCTCTTCAGCGTATAATGTCGAGCAACACTAAATGCCCGCCGGCTAAGCCGTTCGGGTCGAGCATACACCAGCTATCGACGGCCCAGTCGTCGAGCATTGCATCTGCCCCTACGCAGTTCGACCAGACGACCGTGGCGAATGCGGGAGCATCGACCATGCTGGTAGGAGGTGCAACACGCCCTCCTCCCGATGGGAATGGAATCGCGCTTTCCGTGGACCAATGTTGTGCCGTTTGTTTTCGTCCAAAGACAGAGGATTGCGTCGGATGTGGCAGCTCGGCTTGCGACGAGCATATCGATGCGAGTACGACGAGATGCTCTAGATGCGACCTGTGGAAGAGTGAAAGGTCAGCGGCTAACATGCGAGAAGAAGAGATTGCATCGAACGCGGCTAACAAAGAGATAGGACAGATGAGGCTTAATTAAGGCTATCATCACCGACCCGAATCCGTATACTGAAACTAAACGTGAAGTCGGACTCACATCGAAGTCGTTCGGATTTCCGTTGTTTTCGCAAGAGAACCCCGTGGGGCCGTTGTTGCATCAACATTCTGTCCCAGGACCTGCCATTGAAGGTCTGGCTAAGCCGAGCACCGCTGAAAGTGGACTCCCTGCAGGGATGAGGCTAACTGGACCTAACGAACATAACGCTCTTGCCAATCTCCGCACAACCTATGGAGACGGCCCTAATGGAACGACGGCGACTAAGTCGTCGGGCAATGCAGGACAGGGCGGAGAAGATGACGACAAGAGCGACGCTCCCAACACCGAGATCGCATCTTCGCACGAAGATGATCGTGGCAGAGGACCACGAGGATCGCCTCCGGGAAGTCCAGGGGGGTCAGACCCCTCTGATGGTGGGGGTGGACGCAGGGGGCCTCAAGGCCCCGGCGGACCGCGCGACTCGGTAGTAATTGACGAGAGCACGCCGTTAGATCAGTGGAGACAGGTCGGTAACAAACAGAAAATTGATTTGTTGGACATCCCTGACATTACGAACATTCGCGAGTGGAAAATGCACGCAATACGCGCCATCGCTGGGTCATCGCCCGAGAGCCAGGCAGCACAGCACTGGATTGCCGAGGCTATGGATCCAGCCGTGGAGGATGAGCAACTCAAATATGTTGGACGATTCCAGCGTCTCGGCCTTATGATCGCAGCGAATCTTATCGAGAAGTTCAACAAGATGCGAAAGAGTCGATATCAGCCTCCTCATCATACCCATTTCCTTCAACAGGTTACTCGCGTGGAATTCAGCGCCCAGGCCGAGGGAAGGCTCATGACTGGACGCGAGATGGTGCGGGCTATTTGTCACTGGTGTTAGGTAAGGTCGGAGTTGGGACAACATCGCATTTCGCGCGACCTCTTCAAAGTGAAGATAGACCCGCACGAGCCTGATGCTGACCTGTATCATTTCTACAATGAATGGACATACGTGTATCAACAGCTTTATGGCGCCAAGCCTCCGTCCGACGAGATGAGGGCCTCGATTCATGTACTTCCTTGAACAATGCAGAAAGCCGAACAAACTGGATTTTGTATGTAAGTTATATGACTTGTCGAAAGACAGAACGGGACAAGGTGTCAAAACTCACGAATGGCTGATGGAGCAGATTGAAGGAGTGATGTTGCGAGAAAAAGAAGACTGGAACATCTGCGTGCATGAGGAAACCTTAGACCAACGTGCCAGACAAGCACGATTCGGCGGAGGCGGAGGCAATGACAATCGGAGGAATGCAGGCAATAAAGCCGCCCCGGCAGAGATTGCCACTAAGTTGGGACAATCCTCGGATGTCATGAAAGGGGCGAAAACCAAGGGCGAAACCACTTGCAGATACGTTACCAAGGGCGAAACTTGCCCGCGCGCAGGAAAAGGCTGTCCCTTCAATCACAAGAAGCCCAAGAACGCCGCACCGGCTCAGCCGAGTGCGGGACGGAAGACCAGCGCCGCCCCTGCCCAGGATAAGAACCTTAGAGGTAGATCGAAGGACAGGGGCCGAAAGGGG